ATTATAGAAGTCCCTCCCTCTTCCTCTGCACTCTTTCTTCTCTCCTCTCCCTCAATTTCTCATTAATTCATTTGGGTTTATTTCCGTTTTGCATCAGTTGTGTGATTTGTTTGGTTTAAATCTATAGGTGTTATTTTCAGCCCTTGTCTTTATTTACCCTGAGGATCTTAACAATTGTATGCGTCTTTGACCTGTTTGTGTTCAGGTTTGGCTTGGGAATGGGGTGAGTTTGGTGATTGCCTTCCCAACAGCTTGTCGCAGAGGAATGAAAGTGCTGCATCACTCTAGTGTGTAAGCAATCTCCATCCATCCTTAGGGGCTTTGGCAGTCATTGGTCCACAGGATATCAGACTTGCAGTGAGATCAATAGTGTAACTAGTGTAGGGTGGTGGCTGAGTTGCAATCCATTTGTAGCAATGTGGGTTTACATTGTATCCTTCAGTACCGTAAGTGCTTATTTGTATTTTTGGCCTGTAAAGTTACTTGCATGGGAAATGCTGTTGCTATTTCTGGAAGTAGTTAATTTTACAGATGTTTTCCAATTATTGAATGAGTGATAACGTTTATGTTCTTGCTTAGTTATTGTTCAACAGCAATCACATCTTGAGGCAATATTAGCTCTATTTAAATAGGGTGTGGCAGTGACCATTTTGATATCATGGAACATCAGGATTGAAAGAAACTGAACTTTATCTCAACGCTTGAACTGTCTTTTTAAAGACCTGTACCAAAGCCTAATCTATATGTAGTCTGAGCCAAAAATGGAATGACTACTGTCTGATTCAACTGACAGTGACAAGCGCATTTACAAGATTAATGGATGGGCAGACTGACAAATCTCTACTCAGTGCATTTGATACTGGCAAGAGTGTAATTTGGCAGTGAAGAGCTTTCCTTTTAAGATTCGTAAGATATGATTGGACCCACTGTCAGGTTGTTCATCTGGACTGAATTAAATTTGCTTGGCACTTGACAATTGGTGTGGGTGTCCCTGGCACTTCTGACATTTTTGACAGTCTGTCCCATTTTTTACATTGGGCTTGTGAAAATCATCAGGGTTGGGGCTAGTAGAACTGAAAAGTTTAAGGTGAGTGAGACTGGCAATGCCAACATTGGTTTTTTTTCCAAGTGAGTGAAACCTGTCCACATCTGTGTTCTAGCCGTTAGCGTCTCTTCAGTCTTGCTCTCAACTAGCATGCCCACAAGGAAAACCACTTAAAAGGGAAAAATTAAATGGTGTTCAACTGCATGTAAAGGTGACCAGTGAGTATTCATTGATGAGAGAATGCTAATTTTGTGTAGCATATGTAGAAGACTTGACTGTTCAATGCCTTAGCTCTGTTTTTAAACATACTTCGGAAAATTACAATACAACTGAGTAATTTAAGTGTAAACGTCTGTCTAATATCCCTAGCAATTCACTGAGAATGATGATTGAGACAGAGTCTTTGATTACAAAGCTGTGATTAAAACAAATGAATTGTAGTTACACATGTCAGTGTGTTGAACTTATTTGTTGTAGAATGTTTTAGCACTTGATGCTTTTCTGTTAAGACTTCTCTGTTCTCTCTCTTACCTGACTTGCCCTATGGAGGTTTATTTGACCCCTCTGTTGTTTTAAATGCCAGGATGCAGTGAGTGATTTGGTAAATATTTTAATAATATTCTCGATTTTAATAATTCAGTGAAAAGCAAATAATCAATAAGGTCAAATGAGGTGCATGGTTGATCAGGAACTTTACCTTAAACCCCTTTTTCATTTTAACCACAGAGGTTGATGCATGTAAGGTGCAACACAAAGGGTTAATATTCAAGATATGGCTCATGATGTTGGAAATAAGCATGGATAAATGTGTGGTTAATGGACAGGAAGCAAAGAGTAAGGATAAAATAGGGCATTTTCAAGTTGCTAGGCTGATGCTTGTGGAATGCCATTAGAATCAATAGTAGCATCTATTTATATTAATGACTTGGACAAAAACTCAGAAGAAATACTTGAGTAAGATAGCTAAGTTTGCTGACAATGTGAGGCTGGTGAAAGTATAAACTGAGGTGGCTGGAAAGAGATAAATGGATGAAGTGAGTAAGCATCAAGATCATAAGAGTATAACATGAAGTTACTCACTTAGTAATCAGAATTCAAATGCAGATTTCAGTTGTGAAACTTGCAAATGTTGATGTTCAGGTGGACTTTGTACTTGTTCAATGAGCAAAGTCAGGATTCAAGTGCAAGTGGCAATTTGGAAGGCACATTTCCCTCTTCGCTAAGGAAGGATATAATTGTGGCGACGGTTTGTAAAGTTCATTGGTTGTCTTAAGATGGGAGTCGGAGTGAATTGGGCCTGTAATTTTGGAGCCTAAGAGTGAAGGGTCATTTTTTTGAGGTATATAAGATTCTGAGAAGACTTGCTAGGTAAATGCAGCTTGTATTTGCCTGACAGACAATATGGATGAGTAGTTTATTATCACCATTTTAAAGTTATGAAACTCTCACTTTGATCGTTCAGACAAGCCACACATAACCCTCTAGTTGTTAAAATTGTCCATGTTTTAATTGAAAACATTCTGGAAATTAGTGAATGACAAAGCTTTTTACATACATCTGCCTAACACTTGCATAGATCGCATTGCATGAAAAGCTTCTAGCCCTACATCAAAAACAATTTTGCTATTACTTCATAGTGAATTTTGTTTGACTAACATACTTTTTTTTTCTTGCAGGAAGCATTGCAAAGAATTATCACAACACTGGCAAACAAAGATGATGAAATACAGAATTTCATCGAGACATTGAACCATACTTTAAAAAATGTTCAGGTAGTATTTTTGTGTATTTTGATTTTCTCTAAAATTACATGCATGTATTTATTCATTCAACCTACTTTCCTCAATTCATATCTACAGTTTAATTGTAGTTTAGAACTTGATTCCTGCAGTTCAACTGTATGCAAATCTACCCATGTGGAAGATGAACTAGACAAATTGCTGAATACTTCTTGTCAGGGTGTTGCCATGTGCCATTTAGCATGGTGATAATGCTAGACAACATGATAGATGGTATTCTTGATGAAGTCAGGACTTCCTGTCCTCAAGGACTGTGTGGTGGTCATTCTCTCCATTAGTCATGGAGAAATGCATCTGTAGCTGGCAGATTGGTAAGGATGAGGTCTTTTTTTTCTCATGTTGTATCTGTCACCACCTGCCTTAGACTGAGTCTAGCAGTTATATCCTTTACAACCCAATGAGCTTGGTCATTGATACTGTTGCTAAGCCACTCATGGTGGTGGACATTGAAATCCCCCACCAGAGTACATTCTGCACCCCTGCCAGGCCACCATCAGTGCTTACTTGGTGTTGTTCAGCATTGGAGAGTACTGATTCATCAGCTGAGGGAGGACAGTATGTGACAATCAGGAGGTTTCCTTGCCTATGTTTAACTTGAAATCGTGAGACTTCATGGGGCCTGGAAATTAATGTTGAGGATTCCCAGGGCAACTCCCTCCCTCTGCTGGGTCTGTCCTGCTGGCGGGACAGGATATATCCAGGAGTGGTGATGATGGTGGCTGGGATATTGCCTGTAAAGTATGGTTACATGAGAATGACTATGTCAGGCTGTTGTTCAACTAGTCTGTGAGACAGCTCCTCCAAATTTTGGCACTAGTCCCAAGATGTTAGTTAGGAGTACTTTGCAGGGCAGAAAGGGTTGTTTCTGCCATTGTCTTTTTCCAGTGCCTAGGTTGCTGCCAGGTGGTCCATCGGTTTCGTTTCTGAGACTTCATAGTGATTGATACAACTGAATGCCCTGCTAGGCTATTTCAGAGGGCAGTTGAGAGTCAACCAAATTGCTATGGATCTGGGCACGTGTAGGCCAGACCAGATGAGGATTGCAGATTTTCCTCCCTGAAGGACATTCGTGAGCCAGATGAGCTTTTTTGACAATCGGAAATGGTTTCATGGTGATCAGTAGATTCTTAATTCCAGATATTTTGTTTCATTTTGAATTCAAATTCCACCATCTTCTGTGGTAGGATTCAAACTTGGGTCCCTAGAACATTAGCTGGGTTATGATATCTTGAGCCTCACTAATAGGAGTGGAGACCACAGGAGCAGGGTGATTGTGCTGAACCCTCTGTGCAGCACTGGTTAGATCTCAACTAGAGTATTGTGTATAGTTTTGGGTTCCACACTCCTTAGGAAGGAGTGAATACGTTGGAGAGCGTGCAGAAGATGTGTACAAGAATGGTTCCAGTGACGAAATACTTCCTTTACAAAGGTAATTTGGAGAAGTTGGGACTTCCCCTTTGGAAGGAAAACTAAGGTGAGACTTAATGGAGGCTTTCAGAATTATGAGGGCTGGACAGGGCAGATAGGGAAAAACTGTCCTTGCTTTTAAACTGAGAATGAGGAGCTTAGATATGGAAGGCTGTGGCATAGCAGTAATGTCACTTGACTAGTAATTCAGAGCCCTAGGCTAATGTTCTGGGACATGAGTTTGAATCCCACCAGGTCAGACGGTGGAATATGTATTTAATTAATATCTGCAGCTAGCCTAATGGCAACAGTATGACGATTGTTGATTGTTATGAGAACCCATCTGGTTCGTCAGTGTACTTGAGGCCAGGAACTCTGCTATCCTTACCTGATTTGACCTACCTGTGACTTCAGGCCTACAGTGATGTGGTTGACACTTAAACACTCAATGGGCAATAAATGCTGCCCCAGCCAGGATGCCCACGTCCCAAGAATGAAGAAAAGTGATTTGCAAAAAAGACCAATAAAAAGTGCACATAGACTTTTTTGTATGTAGCAAATGCTTTGATTGTGGAATGCACTGCCTGGAAGTATGGTGGAACCAGGTTCAGTCAAGATATTCAAGAAAGCATTGGATAATGTTTCCATTTAAGTAATGTGCGGGGTTACAGGAAAAAGGCAGGAGATTGACACTTAAGTTTTCATGCTCATTTGAAGCGATGGTGTCCCATTAAAAATTTCTGTAAAACTGTGAACAAACTTCCTTATTCTGCAGAAAGCATTCGTCTGGTTTATCCGTTAAAATGTTGTGCTCTGCTTTAGCTATTTACAAAGGCCAATGCTAAAAGTCTTTGTCCACTTTGTCTTCATAACACAAATGTTCTCTCACATCTGAGTTCATCATGAGTGTATTGATATCTGTTATCAAACAGAAGCTTTGGTGTCTGAAATCTAGTCCTTTGAATTTCTCTGCAATTTTGTCTATCCAATACACTGTCCTCTCCTTGCTATGCATAGTTGGTTGGGTCAATGAAGTGTAGAATGAAAGAATTTACTTCTTTGTCCCGTGCCATTCGCAACTATGCTACCTTGTAAAAGTCACTTCACTCATGGAAGCCTTGCGGAAGGATGTGGCAGCATTCTTTGATTATTTTTCGCAGATATCTTGGCTCTTATTAATCCCTTCTAATTGGTGAGGTTGTTGACTTGCTCGCTGAGCTGGCTTGTTCTCATTCAGACGTTTCGTCACCATGGTAGGTGACATCATCAGTGGAGTTTCCGATGAAGTGGTATTATTCTACTCCGCTTGGAATTTATACTGTTTGGTCTATTATGGTGAGTAGTGTCATTTCCGGTTTTGGTCTGTATGGGTTTGTATATGGGGTCCAATTCTGTGTGTTTATTGATTGCATTATGGGTGGAGAACCATGCCTGTAGGAATTCCTGTGCGTGTCTATGTTTGTCTTGGGCTACTTTGGTTACCTTGTCCCAGTTAAACTGATGACCTTCATTGTCTAAGTGTACTGATATTAAGGAGAGTTCGTCGTGCCATTTTGCTACTAGTTGATGTTCATGTATTCTGATGGCTAGTTTCCTTCTGTTTGTCTAATGTAATGTTTGTGGCAGTCATTGCATGGCACTTTGTAAACTATGTTGGTTCTGCATGTTGTGGGAATGTGGTCTTTAATCCTTGTAAGTATTTGTCGTAGAGTGGCTGTCAGCTTGTGGGCCACCATGATTCCTATTGGCCTTAGGAGTCTTGCTGTCAATGTGACCAGTGTGTTAGGGCACTGTGTCCCCATGTTGTCTGTTTAATAGGCATTGGCAGATGAAGTTGCAGGGATATCCGCATATCCCTGCAAATTCAGGCTTTTTAAGCATTGACAAGTAACAGGTTGGGTCTGGAGCATGGCAGCGGCTGGGGACCTATATCAGGAATTCGACACTTGGCTAGAGGTCCAGAATGTTACAGCGGCTGGGGGTCTGGATTGGGACTTTGACAGTCAGTGATCAAAGCCAATGTGGGAAGAGCAAGCCCAACACCACTGCCCGCCCCGCCCCGTTTCCCCCCCCCCCCTTGCCGTGTGGGAGGTACCCCAGTATCTGCAGTGTTGGTGAGAGCAGGCTAAAGCGGAGGAGATCAAGCCCTTGTGGGGAGTGCAAGGTCAGCATGGCTAAGCACTCAAGAAAAACCGTCAAACTTTTAACTTCATTTCTTTATTTTTCTACCTTGTTCATAAGGTTTTGTACCTATGTAGCTAAGAAGGTGCTAGGATTGGTGACATTGTACACTTTTCACTGTATTTGGGTATATTTTTAAGGTTAGGGGAGAAATATTTAAAAAGGACACGGCGGGGGGGCAACATTTTTACACAGTTAGTGTGTAGAATGAACTGCATCAGTTCAGATGGTGGATGCAGGTAAAGTTACAATGTTTAAAAGACATTTGGATGAGTACCTGAATAGGGAGGGTTTGAAGGGATGTGGGCCAAACACGGGCAGGTGGGACTAATTTAGTTTGGGAACATGGTTGGCGTGGACTAGTAGGGCCGAAAGGTCTGTTTCCATGCTGTATGACTGCATGACTCATATTTCTGTACTTGAGTACACGTGACAAAATCTAACTCTAATTCTAAAGACAATTTGCATTTCCTGTCTGTTCCTATCATTTGATATCTTTAATACTTTATTGACAACTGATGAGAAATGTCATTTAGGGGAACAGCTGTTGTGATTCAGTGGAAATGTCCGTATCTCTGGATCAGAAGGCCCAGGTTCAAGTCCCACCTGTCTAGGAATGTGTTGTAACATGTTTTAATCAGTTGATTGTATGTACCCAATGGGACCTTGGTGAGAAGTCATCCGGTGTACTTTGGGGGTTCTTGTGGTGTAGTGGTAGTGTTACTAACTTTGAGCCAGTAGACCTGGGTTCAGGTCCCACCTGCTCCAGAGTTGTCCTAGGACATCTGACCAGGTTGATTGAAAATATCTATATTGTGCCTCAGGAGTTCATATGTGAACAATAATCATGTTGGGGAGAAGATTTCTTGAGTAAATTGCAGATCAACTAATTTTCATGAAATTAATGCCTTGTCATGTTCCATGTCAAGATTCTTTTTATGCTTTTCTCAGAACAGGTTGATTCTGGATAAGTATTTCAATGGAATTGTAAGAATCTGTTTTGAAATGGCTTAGTCCAGCTGGCTCAAATGAATAACAAATATTTTTCCTGACCATAAGGTACTTTATTCCTTAATCTTCACCACTTGATGAATCAGGGAAGCATATCAACAGTTCAGGGACAGACTGTCTAAATACTGCACAACCAAAAGAGTTATCTAATGAATTGATCAAAGGATTAAAACGTATTGTGCTTGGCTTGATTCAGAGTTGTTACGATATAGAGGCTGTTTGCTCCGTTGTGCCTGCACTGGTTGTATGAGCATTTTGCCTTAGTGTCAATTTCTTGCTGTTTCTGTGTAACCCTGCATGTAATTTTTATTAAATATTCATCCATTGTCCTCTTGAATGCTTCAATTGAAACTGCTGCCACCACACTTCCAGGTAGTGCATTCCAGACCCTAATTACTTGTGGAAAAACATTTATTGTCCTCTTGCATTTGCTTCTTTTGAAAAACACTTTTAAATTCTTTGGTTTCTAAGTCCTCTTGTGAGTGGGAACAGTTTCTTCTTACCTACATTGTCCACGCCCCTCGACCTTTAAAACCTCTATTAGGCATTCTCTTAGCCTTCTGTCTAAGGAAAATAGTGCCAACTTCTCCAATCTGTGTGAAGACTTGTTATTATATTGTACCTTTCAATTGTATTGACTCTGTGACTAGTATCTGGACTACTTCAAAATTTGGCATCATTTGAGTATTCTCTGTCACAGTAGAATGCTCTGTTTCTTCCATGAAGACTATATGCCCAGAGATTTTCAGGGGCAAACAGTCAACTAATCCGACAGATTCTGCTTTTGAGCCATACATTAGTTGGAGCTGGTTGCCTGCCCATCAAAAATACAAACCAATATCTCATGTTAATACTGATCTAACAATCTCCAATCGGAAAACTCTCCATCTTTGATACAATAATATTAATGTCTATGACATTATGCATTCTTCCATGCATGACCAATTGTTTAATCAATTCTAAGAAAACTGCACTGTGCCTCAGGAACTTAACAGACCATCTTTTTTGTAGATTTCATTAAGGAACTCTCTTGAAAGACCCAAATCTTTACAATTCAGTTAGTGGTAATTTATCTCTTAAAAATACTTTTTGATTTTAATTGTTGTAGGAAGTGATAATGCCAAGGCCAATTCTTGTTTGTTTTCTTTGACATTAATGTAACTTGTGTCCACATAGCCACTTCATTCATCTGCTGGTGAATTGGCTCCATATCGAGAAACAAGGGTAATCTACTGTCATTATTTAAATTTTTCCTTGTTTCCATTTTCCACAATGGCAGCTAGTCCTTTGGCTGTTGCTATAAATGTTTGAGCAGGTGCAGCTTCATACGGTTTACCTAAACCGGTCATAACATAGAAATATGGCATAACTCCATCAAAATGGAAGTGTAGTCTGACTTGCTGTAAAATTCCTCTCTAGTCTTTAAGTTGCTGTTATTACCCATTTCTTCCATAATCCGAAATTTGCATTTGATTTTGGTCTGGAATTTAAGTGCTCTCATGGTTTGTTCATCTTGTTTCCCGAATAATCAATGTCCAGTATTGTCTACAATACTCCAGCTGATACCTAAACAGTGGTTAAAAGCCTAGAAGGATTTCTGTTCTTATGTTCTTTTCCTCACCACATCACATTTAAGAATTTTTACGTGGGCTTCAATTGTGTCTCCATGTTTTCAAAATTGTCACTTGAATAACGTACAATCTTTCCACCTTCTCCACATCCTCCCAATGTGCTTCATTTAATATTTCTCAGTATTGAAATCTATATGTATTACTTTTTTCACCATTCTGTCATTCTGAAACCCATGAATTACTGTATATCTTTCTTACAAAGACTGGTCAAATATTTTGAACTGAATAATTTTCTGTTGTTATGATATCACTTTGTTCATTACAAATCTTTTAAGGCTTTTTGACCAATACATTCATTTATTTACGTATCAATCTTTTAAGAGGTGGGGATCTTTTTTAACATCATGATAAACAGAATAAGGCTGGCTAACTTGACCTTGTTCACAGTAAAATCTTACGTCGAGAGTCTTGCCGTGTAGACTAAAAGTAAGCTTTTTGTTTGGAAAGAAGAATAATTTCTGCTATTACTTCTTGCCCCCTTTGGGACTTGTGCTAATCTTTATTTTGCACATTTATGCACCATAGTTTTTGCTCTCTGTGTAACATGGTATTTGTCATCTGTCTGCCCAATTCTGTAATAAAGTAGATACCTTTTGTATTTGTCCTTCGTATTTTCCTACTGCCAAGAAACAGGATGAATTTATAGTGGTTTCCAATTCCAAGTTCCTTTTAGATTTTAAAAAAAACAATAGAGGTTTATATGTCTGAGTTACAGGTAAGTTGTTGACTTCTTGTTAACAGTTCTAGTTGACAGTTGTGCAGGACTGTAAATTGATATTGAAATATCACGCCATGAATGCCAGTGCTTTTGATTATTTACTAATGTCTGAAAGCAGAGTTTTCAGTTGTAAAAAATGTTTTGGATGTCAAGTAAGTGCAGCATCTAGGTGTATTTGGTTGAATTTTTGAGAAGTGGGGAATCTAATCGTATAAGGATCATAAATCTTTTTGGACCAAATTAATTTTAAAAATCTTAGTGTGCTAAATAGCAGGGTTTTGTACCAATGAATTATTTTTGGATTATTTCTAATTGGGATTATTTTCAATTTTGGGATTAAATAATTAATTTTCTCTGATTTAATGGGAATAGATGTGTAGTGTCTGTTACTTAAAAAGATCTATGCACAAGTGATTAACTGCGCATTGATTTGTCAGCAGTACAGGGTTTAGTTTTTCCCCCACTGTCATTTACTGTTTTAAGAATTTACGAAATGGTCATTGGGCCAGTAATAAAAGTTGCATTGCTAAATAAAACATACAGAAAATTTATTGTTCTGAGGATACGTTGCATCAATTGTTAATTCTGCAGCATATCAGTTTCTTTAAAGTATTCCAAGTATCTTGTCATTCAAATACCATTTCAAGTTCATACATATTGACAATGCGTTTGTTTGAGGGAAGTTGGCATGAGGTGTGTTTGTTCAGAAACATTTTATTTAAAAAAAAAGCATTGACTGGGGATAATTTATGAAAATTGAGGCTGATTTGGTTGAATGCCTTCATGGGAAATAGTCAGACTTCTCATGAAGCAATTTGTGTGAATATTTAGTTTCTTTTAAGCATTGAAATCAATGCTCTTTGTTTTTAAAGATGCTGATCTTAATTGCAGCAACATTTTCTTGGCTCAGTGGTCCTAAATCCAGCTAGTTCGTTCATCAGTGCCAAAACAATTATTCTGTCCAAGTACAAGTTATTTACAATTCCAAATAGTTTATCATTTTTCCAATGCACTAATTGATTGCATCTGAGAAGAAACAATTTTATTTGTAAATTACAACCAAATGTCTAAGTTTCAAGTTGCATATTTATCATGACAACATGTACATACCCACGCCTGCTAAAACAACAAATTAGCATTTTTGCTTTTAGACTTAGTTCATAAGTGAATTTGAGGCAAATGGAAAATCAGTTTTTCAGTATTTTTTTTTTGGATTGTTTTATTCACATATACCAAAAATTGATTTGTGACCTCTGTTTTGATTAAGGCCCTAATCAGCATATAGGGGTGAGCTTAGAGTTGTTTTTACTTTTTTCATGCAGGTCAATACCACCAAAGTGATGATTGACTTGGAAGAAGAGTTTGGTGCTCTTCAGGCCACCTTGGATGAGATGAAAGCAAGCATGGTGAACAAGATCAAACAAGAACAAGCATACAAAAGCCAAGAACTCCAGGTAAAAGCAGTTCTTCAAGACAGACTTTTCATTTTGGTCTTTTTCTTGGTCTGGGAATATCCAGAATAATTTCTCTGTATTTGTGTTTATTTGAAACCAAATTAATAATTCCAAACTGCTGAATTTTTCCGGCCGCCCAAAATTCTAACCTTGATTTCAACTCAAAACGAAGAGAATTCATTCCTGATTTAGATCTTGTGAACGTTTTTCGTTAATTATTTCATTGTTTCCAAAGTAATATGGTTTTGACTTCTGTGTCAACTCAGTGAGTGTTTGAAGTGGCTACATTTCATATTCCATGCTTTGTGGCAGTATTGTCTACTTTGAAGATTTCTGGAAAAATCAAACATGCTGAATATGTAAATGGATGCCAAGTCAGTAAAGTCATCATAGTCTGACCAGACCGTATGGCTGCTCTCTCTTTAGAGAGATATGACTGCTAATGGTTTAACTGAGGGTGATCATGCCTCAGGTGAGGGGAGAGGTTTAGAAAGGAAGTCTTTGTGGTAACCTCAGCTATAGTGGGAATTGAACCTACAGTGTTGGCCTCACACTGCATCAGAAACCAGCTAACTGATCTCCAAATGGATACCACTGTGTTATGGCTAGTGGTCCTGCATGTGGCAAGTGCACTTCATCATATCAAACCTCAAATATGCTGCCATCCATGCTGGTTTATTGTCCAATTAAGGGCTCATAATTCTATCAAATGTTTCCCTGGGGCTAAAATCGAAAGAACTGCGAATGATGGAAGTCAGCAACAAACAGAAATTGCAAGAAAATCTCAGGTCTGGCAGCATCTGTGGAGAGAAAGCAGAGTTAATGTTTTGGGTCTAGTAACCAAAACATTAGCTTAGCTTTTTCTCCACAAATGCTACCAGACCTGAGTTTTTTTTTCAGCAATTTTTGTTTTCGTTTCCTTGGAAAATGTTTGGTAATCCTGCACAGGATTTGATTTCCCAGACATTGAAAGTATTAACTGTGAAGGCCAATGATAGGAAGGATGTTATTAAACTGGAAGGGATGCAAAAACATTTCAAGAATGTTACTGAGACTGGAGGGTTTCAGTTTTTAGGAGAGGCTGGATAGGCTAGGACTTGTTTCCCCGGAGCTTAGGAGGCTGAGGGGTGACCTTGTAGAAGTTTATAAAATCATGAGGGGTATAGAAAGGGTGAGTAGACATGATCTTGTTTCCAGGGTAGGGGAATCCAAAACTAGACAGCATAGGTGTCAGGTGAAAGGGGAAAAATTTAAGTGACCTGAGGGGTGACTTTTTCACACGGAGGGTAGTGTGAATATGGAATGAGCTGCCAGAGGAAGTGGTCGAGGTGAGTACAACTACAACACTTAAGACATTTGGAAAGATACGTGGATGGGAAAGGTTTAAAGGGATATGGGCCAAATGCAGGCAAATGGGACTGGTTCAGTTTAGGAAACCTGTTTGATATGGGCAAGTTGAACTGAAGGGTTTGTTTCTGTGCTGTATGATTCTAACTGTAAGATTTAATGAAGTGTACCAATAAAGAAACCGTTTGTCCTTCAAGCCATTTCAGTAAAACCAGTGATTCTTCAGGCTTTAGATTCAGATGCACATACAGTAGGAAAAGAAGTAAATGGCCTGTCAAATGCAAAGGGCATAGATTCAGCTAGGAAGTTTGCACTTGTTGGAAGACTACCCCAGCTGGGTTGACATGTGATTTAGTATCTACATCAAAACAATGTATATCAATAGCTGAGTGAGCATGTTTTTGCTAATGTCAGTCAGATCGCAAGTGCACTGCACTTTGGAACAATCCATTAATGTTCACCGATTTTCATTTGTTGCGTAAGTGCTTGTCATCAAACACGATGACTTGACGAATTTGCTTAATATTACCTTGCAGGCCTGTAACACTGGGCTTGAAACCTGAGATTTCTAATATTAAGCTTTCCAATATTACTCTTACATTTGCAAAATTGCATTAAAAAAATCATAATTTGTTGTATTTCCTGATGTCAGTCAGCAATCTTCAACCAGCTAGTTTTCATTAAAAATTCAAATCCAAAATCTTATGCATTCAAGGAATGGGACCTAATGTAAGAGCAAATTACTGCAGAACCAGGAATCTGTACTGAAAACAAAAAGGTGCTGGAAATTACACCGGGTCAGGCAGTATCTGTGGAGAGAGGGCAAGCTAACACTTTGAGTCTAGATGACTCTGGAATCTAGACAGTCATTTTTTTTTTTAGTTTTCAAGGAATGGGACTTGTCTGATCCGGACAGAACTCTAACAATCTTTGCGTTGTCAAACCCACAGAGTTCTGCTCAGTAGAAATTCTTAAGAGTTAACCCATGGACTAATTAGGCATCTCAGTCCTATCAATCAGTCAACATTTCAGATTCTATTACAATGCTACTGTATATCCTGATTTCTTTCTCATTCCATTGTAGCCCCTTGTGCCAATACCCTTCCTATCCAGCAGAAGTACAGTACAGTGGTGAGCGTTTGAATTGAATTGGCCAATGAACCATGACCTAGCCTTTGCGGTGAATAATTCCACAGATTCACTACTCTTGAGAAAAGAAATTTCTTCTCCTTTCTATCTTAAATGGACAATCATTTACTCTGAGATTATGACCTTTGGTCCCAGACTCCGCCACAGTGGTGAACAACCTCTGTTGGGTCTCCTAAGAAACTTGACAAAAAGTACCAAACAATCTGCAGATGCTGGAAATCTGAAACAAAAACAGAAATTGCTCAAAAATCTCAGCAGGTCTGGCAGCATCTGTGGAGAAAAATCAGATTCTGCTTTCTCTCCGCAGATGGTGCCAGACCTGCTGAGATTTTCCAGAAATTTGTTTTTGACCCGAAAAAACTTGTATGTTTCAATAAGGTTGATTCTTATTACAAGCCAGTCTTTCCTACCCAGTATCAAATTAGTTAAATTTCTCTTCTGTCTCTGATGCAAGTATATCTTTGCTTTGTTAAAGGAACTGAATTTGTTCAGTTTTCCGAGTGTGGTTTAACTAGGGTATTGAATAGCTTCAGTAAGACTTCCTACTTTTCGTGATCCATTCCCACTAAAATAAAGGCCAAAGTTCCATTTGCCTTCCCTTACCTGCTGGACTTGAGTGGTAGCTTTGAGATTCATGGACAAGGACTCCTAAGTCCCTCTGTTCTGTTGCTTTCTATAGTCTTTCCTCATTTGAATAACATTCAGCAGCTCTATTCCTTCTGCAAAAGTGCAAAACCCCTTGCATTTTCCGACATTTTTATTCCATTTGCCAAGTTTTTCCCCCACATGATTAACCTGTCTGTATTTCTCTTACAGACTCACCACTTGTTGTCTCACCTATTTCTCCATCATCCAAAACTTGGCTTTAGTACGATCACTTTCCTTATCCAATCATCAATAAATCTTGTAAATAATTATGCCCCCCCCATACTGTTTCTTGTGGCACCATGTGTGTTACAGGTTGCCATTCCTGAAAATGTCCTACTTATCCCAACTGTCTTCTAATAGTTAGTAACCCTTTATCCTTGCTAATATGCCACCCTCAACACCATGCGCTCTTACCTTTATTAAGTAGAAAATGAGTGGTTGAACAGAAAAACTTGTGAAATTTTAATTTTGGTGATCAAAGCATTATTTTCATAAAACAGGTTATTTGAGATTAATTATTATACCCTGTGTAATTCTTAAACAAATTGTGCAAATTTTCCTTCTCCATAAAGCCCTGATTTAAATTGATTTATCTTTGGAATTGTATCCCAACCAGCACTGACAATATTGGACTTAGTCTTGCCACCAGATTCTGTTAGGGCTTTCCGTCAGATCTTTTTTAATTTGTGTTGGCTAAATATCATTCAAAGATTGAACACCATTCCCTTGGTAAGAAATGGAAGTAAATGGTCTGCGGTTGAGATTTTGCTGGTGGGATTGAGACCATATTCATCGAATTCTTTGAAAACTACATTGGTTGTTTCGATTTTTCTTGTGTTTAGTACAGAGCATAATGGAAGTTTTGCGATTTGAAACCTATTAACTAACCGTTACCTTTCAAGGCTGAAAACATGACCTGGTAACCCCCTTATTTGGTTGCTGTGGAGGTAAGCATTAAAGGGTAATTTGTTGTTCTGTTCTGAGTGAATAGATAACCAAAAATATGTCTACTTTTGTGAAACTGAAATGAGGGAAAGTTGGAACCGCTGCAATTTAAATACTTTATTTTCTTGTAGTTTGTTTCGTATTCTGTTGAAATTTTGATTCTTACAAATTAATTTGAATGGATCAATGAATAGCATCCCTCAATTTGCAACTTTTTTGTTTTAAAACAATCTTGAGAGTGAAAATGCAATTTGTGATACGTAATTACATTGAACACGTGGAAAACTTGTGCTAATTTTTTGATTTCATCAGAACCAGTTGACCATATGTACCAATGCTTTGGAAAGTTCAGAGGAACTACTGGACTATGCAAATCGGACACTAAGCACCAATGACCCTGAAGCTTTTGCGAAGGTATGATTTTTGGCTTTGCATGGAAGTTGTTCTTTTAAGAGAAAAGTTAGTTTTGAAAATCTTTGAAGTGGTATTTTTAAACAAGAATGGAAAATTGCGATTGGCAAAAATGACCAATAAGATACAGCAAAATCACGTAAAAACTTCAGATGATGTCATTATTTTACAAGTACGCTTCCATTAAGGTGCAGCTGATAAATTTCCACCTTGTCCTTTTGAACGGTAACTGCTGTTTAGATCAGTGTTGGACTAACTTACTGCACTGTGGGGAGTGCAGTTGTCACACTGTTCTAATCTCATGTGAATTTGGAAAATTAGAGACTTAAGGCTGTATTCCTCCATAAACTAAGGGGGAAGGAGCTTCACGAGGAAATACTCCTGCTAATCAATAATTGTAAGCAAAATGCTAGAGCATGTTCCCAAATTCTGAATAATGCAAGGCTGAACTGTGGCATGTGGATATGAATGCAAAATGCAGCTCCTATATCATTGCAAACATTTGTTACCAGCTAAAGCTTAGAAGTAATAAGTAGAGATAACAGTGTGGAGCTGGAGGAGCACAGCAGGCCAGGCAGCTTCAGAGGAGCAGGAAAGTTGACGTTTCAGGTCAGGATCCTTCTTTCTGATTGAGTAATCTTAATAAGCTTCTGTACTTACTTTTCTGCTTTATAGCTTCTGAGGATTGCTTCCAATGGCAGATTACAACCTTCTCCAGTTGATGTTTGACTTGTTTCCAATGAAGGCATAAAATACTTGGGCCATCAGTGCCCTGGACTAAAATTTGATAAGTTGCCTTGAAAAAAATCTTATGCTAGCATACCATGGAGCTCCCCTGTTAGCTGTCAGCTCACATATGAAGTGAGAAGTGATTGGAAGTTGTACTTTGATTGTACAGAAAATTTGTGAAAGTTGAAACATTGGAATAAAGTGGTTTTGTTAGAATTAGATTTAGAACATTAGGTTTATTAATGTGTGAGGAGGAGCTGGCATTACCATTCATTGTTTGAGATGTTCCTTTCAGGATTGTAGATGATAAATCACATGCAATAGGTGAAATCATTATCTAAAGTCTTTAGTAAAGCTCCTTTCCCGTCCATCTCACTTGCACTGGAGGTGTGGTTCTCTGGCCTAAAGGTATTAGAGACTTTCGGGGCATGTATGATGTATTTACAATGTCTGTCAGTTTTCTCCTCATTGAAGCATTCAAGATGTTTGCAACCAAGGAGAAAATGTTAAAAACAGAAAGAACTGCAGATGCTGAAAATTAGGAACAAAAGCAGAAGTTGCTGGAAAAGCTCAGCAGGTCTGGCAGCATCGGTGGAAAGAAAATCAGAGTTAACGTTTTGGGTCTAGTGACCCTTCGTCAGATCTGATGGTAGCTGGAAAATGTCGGTTTATATGCAGAAAATAGGAAGGGAGTAAACGATCGTGGTGGCAACCAATGTTTTCCCAGCTACCATCAGTTCTGAGGAAGGGTCATCGGACCTGAAACATTAACTTTGATTTTTTTTTCACAGATGCTGCCAAATCGGCTGGGCTTTTCCAGCAACTTCTGTTTTTGTTGCAAGGAAATGTAACTGGGTGACAGTGGAACACAATTCTAAAGTGTCTGCATGTTCCTGATGGATTTTGCCTGTGGAAGATTAGACTAAATTTGAAGATTAAAGTACACCTATACTATGTTTTAAGTAGTTTCTTTTTGGAGATTTAAAAATCCCAATCACACTTTTACTGATTGTCTATCATATAAGCCTGAACAGGATACCTTTAGGAGTTTATGTAGATATCCTTATAGCTTCTGTGACTAATTTGAAGCTAAGCAAGAGAGATGGAATTAGTTCAGCCTCAATCTCTTCATATTTAAATGGTCACCAACAATATGTATGAGATACTAGGCTTTAACTCCAAACTAGGAAATCTTTAAATTGCCATAGATGTGCATTGCTGTGGAGAAGTTATATTTGCAGGATCTTTATTATTTATGTGGCTATCTGTGGTTAGACCCATATTTATTGCCTGCCTCTTATTGTTCTGGAGCAGGTTAATGGTAAGCTGCTTATCTGAACCACTGCAGATTTCTTTTGTGGTGTAGATGCATCCACAGTGCTGCCAGGAAGGTCATTACCAGCATTTTGAGCCAGAAATAGTGAAAGAACTGTGATGTAGTTCTAAGTCAGGATGGTGTGTTTCGGAGTGAAAATGGAATGTGGTTCTTTATATCTGCTTGTCTTGTCCTTCAAGGTGGCAGAGGTCATAGATTTTAAAGATACAGTCAAAAGAGCTCCCTAAATTATTACTATTTTAAAACATCATTTCCATGAACACAAGTCTGGCAATGCTAATATTTATTTATCATCCCTAGCTTCCCCTTAAAGTAGTAGTCAACTGCTGCCTTGAGCTGTTGCAGTCCTTGTGAAGATTTGAGCATAAGGAGTACCAGGAATTGAACCCATTTGATATCTGTCAAAGTCAGGATTGTGTTGTATTTAAAGGGGAACTTGGAGGTAACAATGTTTCCATTCACCTGCAATTTTGTGCTTTGTGAAGTTGCAGATTTGGGAGTTGTTGAAGATTGCTTGAAAAGTTTCTGCAGTGCGTACTGCAGCCATACCATACGATTGTTTCTAGTGTTTGGGACTGCACCCATCCAGGAAGGTGAAGGCGATGACATCATGCTTTTAACTTGTGCATCTACATAGGAGGTGCATGCTGTCAGCTGCAATTTTTTTTGTACTGGAGTCATGGTGAAACAACATTTTTTTATAGGGGAATATTTCCAATGTATGCTAACTGGTATTTGCATTCTCTTTACGTTAAAACTACACTCTTATAGTCTTGCATTTAATTTAATGTACCACTTTAGTGCAGTAGTGAGAAAGTGCTGCATTGTTACAGGATTGAATATTTACTCAAAAAAAAACAATTGGAGGTCCTGTCTGTTCTTCCAGAAGAATGTTACAAGATCTTGTAACAATATTTGAACAATATCTGAAATAAATAAGTGTCTGGCTCAAATGATCAGGCTTGAGGATCAGGTGAGTCAAAAAAAAAATCAAAACCTGTTGATGTGAATTTCTTTCTCCTCCTTCAATCTTGCAGTTTTTCCAAATGAATCTCCTCCCTCCACTTCTGCAAGGATTCACTAAAATCTTCTGAATACTTTTTTTGGGATTGTGTATTGTTCAGTTTTCGTGTAGTTAAAATGATCAGCTTTTAATCATTAAGCTTCTCCACTTGCCTTCATGTGCATATACAGTTAAGATCATTAATCCAGTTTTTAATATCATTGCTTGATGGGAATAAATTGAATAAACAATAAGTTTGTGTTCTAACTCTGGCACTACTTCGTAAGAATTGGTCTCTAAAGATTGATACGAGATTTTTTTGCCAACACTGATTAAGTGTTGCACTTTATACAAGTGTATTTACATGTAGGTGATCTAAAGTGGCCAACCTTAAGAGCATCAGAACTCAATCTGTTCAGAAATGATGAAGACACATGCACGTATACAAAAGACAAAGGGGGGTTTGGCAAGAAAGGATATAGTGAGTAGAGGGAAGAACTGGGAAGGCAGTTCAGTCATCCTGTCCTATAGGGTTTCCTCAGATATTTCTTGTGCTGATTAGAATATAGCTTCTTGGTTTTCCTTCTCTGGATGCTGCCTCTTGTTTGTAAGAGGCACAGGGTGACTGGTTAACACTTATAAGGGTCTCTGATTTATTAATCAAAAGTTATTGGTTACAGCAACTGCTGGAGGAAAAAGGTAAACTGGTTTTCTTCAGGCTTCCAGAGGTATTTACTGCAACAAACAGCTCCTGAACTTGGAGAGATCTGATGACTTCTCGCCCATCATGTTTGGAGGCCCAGCTTCCTGGGAATCAATAATATAATTGTTGGCAAGCAGAAGGCCATAGTCATTGCTAGTTCACAGATCAAGCAGCTATTTGTTGCTGGACGAATCTCCATTTGTACACAGCCAGAACTTACAATGATTATCAGGTTACTTTGTTTCCACAAACTGCAGAAATTCCTCTACAATCCTTGGTTTTTAAAATTGTTCTTTCCCTATTTCAATCCACAATCAAAAGTACCAAAAAAAACTTGCCTTTGTAATGTACAACACAAAAGAGCACAGACAAGTGAAGCCAGTTTTGACCTTCATTTACATAGGTTCTTCTGCAGTTGTTACCCAAAAAGTATTTGCTTCTAAAGTGTACTGCTAAAGAATACAGTGTTTACAATATTTGTTTCTTCTTTGGGTTTGCAGTTCTTTTGCCTGGCGAATGATGCTTCCTACTGTGCGTTATGGACAGCCTGTTTTCACTGATGTTCTTGGCCAGTGCCAAGAGCAGTTGAATAAAAACTTTCTCTGCCCCTCAAGTCTTTTCATACAGCACAGTTACTGACATCAGGAATCCTTGTAGTTTATTGGATTGTACTACATCCCCAGTTGTGCAATCCGAGAGCCCGTCATTGAATATGACAGTTAATTTTAGCACCAAAACAACTAAAGCAATGGAACTTCAAATATTTTTTCAGTGAGAGTAACAGAAATTAACCTTTGACAACTTTGATCTTTTCTGCATTTTAAAATCTATTGCCTTGATGTTCCAGAAAATGCTGAGCATCATGTTATTTGCTGTTTGAGATATTCACAAAGCATGCTGGAGATGCATAGGTGTATCCTTGCTGTGTCCTTGGATGCAGGATTCAGAATAAATTCTAACATTTGGCAGTAGTAGTAAATACATGCTGAGAGTAACTTTGATGCAAATTAGTGTATGCAATCATTTTTTGTGTTAAAAATGCTTTTGGGAGTTAAAAGAATTGGATTATGCAACTCCACTTACAACTGTATAATTGGTGTGCAAACAGAATTGGTAAGTGATTGAGCCCAAAACTGAAGGACCTACTGTTTAATTTCTTGGCTTTAAGTGCCCATTGTGGGCTAATAGAATATTGTAAAATTGTGTTTGATTTGTTTGCATTTTGCACTAAAATTTTTAATTATCTAGTTATTCAAATTAAATGACATTTAATTGAGGGGACTGAGTTGTGCTCCATTATCCACTAGGAATGCATTTCTGTACTAATGGCACATCATTGTTTTAATTATTAGCCCCAGTTCACCTTTCCCAAAGGTTGCTTTGCTGTTTGAGTAACTAGATAAAGTGTGTTGTGCTTAAGTGTGATTGTCAAATATTTTTGCTACTGCAGCACTAACCTACTAACTGCTGCAGCGAACATGTGATTCTGTAATCTCTTTACAGCTTGTAAATAAAAGTAAATCACAGTACTCTTGACATTTTTTCTTTAAAATGCAATGTCGTGGTTTTCTTGAAAAAAATTTTATAGATTTCTCTTGTACTTTCACTTCTTTCGCCTTCAGCATGATGTTTCAGTCAACTTGCATGAGCGGGACTAACATCCTCTTTTCCTCTTCCTCTTTCACTCCAAGGCTGCCAAGCAGATCAAGGATAGGTAAAAAAAAATTTATTTATCTTCTCTGGAAATTGTTACATGTTGTACATCTATAATATCTATGAGAACTTCTTATTTAATCTCAGGATTAAGACAATGTAAGGGAAGGAGAATAGAGTTTTTTTTTTCCTCATAGTACAGAAATGAAGCTCCTCTTCACCAGGCCAGGGTAAGAAATATGACATACTTTTTTTTAATTTCCCAATTAATGTACCTGTATGAATGATACTGGATTTCTGCTCCGGAAGTCTGCCCCCTAGTTGCAAACAACTCAGCTGGGAAATTGCTCCACATGTAGTCAGTAACTTGGGTCTGTGCCTCCGTATTGGACTGCAGTGTGTTATATTTTAAGTTTTTGTAGGGGTAAGCTGCTGGGTGAGAACATTCTTGAGAGTCATTGTATTTTGAGGTTTAGTGTCAGTAAACCCCATGTATTTTCTCACTCTTCATTGACCTGTTTATTTCATTGATTTGGGTTAACATTAAATGCTCGTTGGTGCCTATCTCAAACATCATCCATAGTATTCAGGATCAAAAGCTGGTTCAGCCTGGGGCTTGGTTCCACTCAAGAAGCTTGTCTTATGTTTGCTCCAGCTAACAGACAACCTATCAATGCTCTGATACTTGTTCAAGATTGCGGCAAAGTTGAAACATATATTGAATGATGTAGCAAAGAATAATTTGCTACAAAGTCAAGAGTAAGAGACTGAGATTTGAGGTTGCCAAAAACTTTAATTTTTAAAACCTATTCAAAACACTTGATATAGCTTTATTCTGAGCTGCACGCCATGTTTTCCAAATAATTAACCAATGCATTTTCCTTAAAACTGGCAGCCTTCAATTGATGGTTTTTATACACATACTTTTATGAATGTATTTAAATGGACATGTCATTAATTGTATCTAAGTTCTTCCTACTTTGTGTTTAACTTGCATCAGCACCTATGAGTACCTCAGGGATCAGTGCTGGGTTCACTTTTGTTTGTCATTTACATAAATGATTTGGATGAGAAATTAGGAGGCATGGTTAATAAGTTTGTGAATGACACCAAAATTGGTGGTATAGCCAACAATAAAGCAGGTTATCTGAGCTCACAAAGGGATCTTGATCATTTGGGCCAATGGGCTGAGGAGTGGGAGATGGAGATGGAGATGGAGATGGAGTTTAATTGGAATCAATGCAAAGTACAAACGAGGGCAGACTTAGACAGTTAATGGTAGGGCCCTGGGTAGTAGTGTTGAATAGAAACCTAGGGGTTCAGGTACATAGTTCTTTGAACGTTGCATCACAGGAAGACAGGGTTGTTAAGAGGGTGTTTAGCATGCTTGCCCTCATTGCTCAGATCATTGAGTAAAGGAGTTGGGACATCATGTTAAGGTGTTGCAGGACATTGGTGAGGTCACTTTTGGAGAACTGTGTGCAATTCTAGTCACCCTGGTATAGGAAGGATATTATTAAATTGGAGGGGGTTCAGAAAAGATTTAGCAGGATGTTGCATGGGACTGGAGGGTGTGAGTTATAATGAGCGACCGGGACTCTCTTCCCTGCTGCCTCGGAACTTGAGGAACAAGGTTTATAAGGGTAGCCTGGGACTTTTTTCATTGGAACGTGGGAGGTTGAGGGATGACATTATAGTGGTTTATAAAATCATGGGGGCATTGATAAGGTGAATAGTAAAGGTCTTTTCCCCAGGGTGGGGGAATTCAAAACGAGCAGGCATATTTTTAAGGTGAGAGGAGAAAGATTTAAAAGGGACCTGAAGGGCAACTTTTTCACACAGCATGGTTTGCATGCGCAGTGAACTACCAGAGGAAGTGGTAAATGTTACAACATTTAAGACATTTGTACATGTACATGAATAGGAAAGGTTTAAAGGAATATGAGCAAATGCAGGCAAGTGGGACTAATTTGGTTTGGGAAACTTGGTTGGCATGGACTAGTTGGACTGAAGGGTCTGTTTCCATGCTGTATAACTCTGGCTCTCTGATCCTGGAACTATCCCTGGCTGTTCTATTGCATTTTAGATAGGTCATTGGAGTTTGTTTTCTCAGTCTATAGTCAATTGCTACAATGTCTGATAGGAGTGCACAGTTTCAGTAGTTGGGGCGTGAGGTTAAGGCAGCTGTGTCTGGGATAATTCACATAAAATCGGTTGAAAATGAAATATAGTCGATTTAAAAAGAAGAGGTTTGCAGATTTCATTGTGGCTTTTTTTTCTGAAAAGAATACTCTAACTTGTCAGGTTTCACATTGCTTTTGTAGGGTAACAATGGCTCCTGCATTTCGGTTATCCTTGAAACCAAAGATCAGTGACAACATGACGCATTTAATGGTTGATTTCTTCCATGAAAAGCAGATGCTTAGATCACTAAAGTTTTTGCCAGGTAAGAATTTGATTTGTTGGTCTAGCCCCCATGCTTATGCTGATAAGGTCTGTGTAGTGCTTTTGCTGTATTCATGGAAAGCTGTTTGCAGTTACATTCTTGTGATTTGCCTCCTTGTTTTCATAAATGAAACCATAGCCCAATAGCTGACCTTGAGACCTTTTGTCATTATCTCAATTGTTCCATTGCAAGTCCTGGCAATGGACGACAATCTGAATTGATGTATAGCTCTTCCTTTCTTGCTGCTTGTCCTTCCTCTGGAGAAAAGTATCCAATCCCTATACAATGTAAATGGCAAACAACCTGAGAGAAAGTTGTCCTAGGTGAATAAAACATCTTTCGCTCTTTACAATTTCCCCTACAGATGTGTAGTTGAAATTGAAGACAAGTTTGGGATCTAACCTATACCTAGTTATTCTTTTGTTTCAAGCAAAGCTATCATGCTGAAATTTTAATTAGGCAGAAATCCTTCTTGAACCTGTTTTAACGTGGTAGTTCCACAGATATTCAGTGACAATTTCTAAGTGTAAATACTTTTTAAAAATATATGCTGCTTTGTGTAGAGCTGGATGAACACAGCAGGCCGAGCAGGAAGGCTGACATTTCGGGCCTAGACCCTTCTTCAGAAATGAAGGCCCTTCTTGAGACCCTGCTTCATTTCTGAAGAAGGGTCTAAGCCCAAAATGTCAGCCTTCCTGCTCCTCTGATGCTGCTTGGCCTGCTGTGTTCATCCAGCTCTACACCTTGTTATCGCAGGTTTGCCAGCATCTGCAGTTCCTATTATCTCTGCTGCTTTGTGTACTTATTTGAAATAGATTAAGAAGGACTATTGATGTTATTAAATGGATATTTCCAAACTCTCTGAACATTGCTTTATATAGCATTCTGTTTTGGAGCACTGTCAAGTAACATTACTTAATCCAACTTCAGATTTCAGTGCAGAAATAGTTGGCTTTAGCTGTTTGCATGCTGCACTGCCCAAGTGGAAGCAATCCCTAAGCTGTTTTTAAAAATTGGTGCCCATTATGAAATGTCTAGTTTTATCAGTTCAGCCATTCAGTTTAGGGAGAAGCTTTCTGTAAATTTTACAATTAGTTTTCTTTGGGTTTGGCCTGATGCAGTTTGACTCATGAATTGTACAGGTCATTCTCTTTGTTGACTGAAGTTTCAGAAGTATGATATAAGGTGGAGCAAATTGCTTGCATGTGCAAAATACAACTTGTTTTTCTCCTGTATGCTAATACAAATGTTCCCCTCTACCTACTTGTATCTGTTTCTCCACGAGATGCAAACTTTAAATATATTTAAAGTATATGGACCTAATATTGAGGAATAATCCATCGATTTTCCAAGGATTGGTTAGTCTGCTTTCAAATGCAGTGAGGCTTATGTAGGACACTTGCTGCAGACTTGATTACACCACCTGTTTGTCTAGACAATATAATGATGCATTTATCAGACATCTGTTGTCCTTTCTGTAATTTAACATCTTCCAGATTAGATACATTCCCTGGGTGATCTTAATTCCCCTGAGCCTAGTAATAAAAAAAACTGCCAACAGACCTGAACCATTATTTAGAGTACACTTAGAGTATGTTGATTATTTTCTATCCTAACCAAGCCCTGCTCGGTGTTTGTTGGTCACACTGAATTCAATAAAAACCTGGAATTAAGAGCCTAACGATGACCATGAATCCATTGTCGATTATCAGAAAAACTCATCTGGTTCACTACTCTCCTTTAGGGAGAGAAGCTGCCACGCTTACCTGGTCTGGTCTACACGTGTCTTCAGACCCACAGGAATGTGGTTGACTGTTAACTGCCCCCTGGACAATAAATGCTGGTCTCTTGCCAGTGATGCCCTCATCCTATGAATAAATTTTGGAAAGTTCCTCCTTGATGCTTTGTGCTTTACTACTTCCTTGTTTTTCAAGACCCTCCTTTGACCAACACTTTGGTTCATCATTTGCTTGTGGGAAAGTGTGTGTAGTTTAGTTGAAACATTTGATTTTCTGAATCCTAGCAGGATGATATCAGTTTGACTGTCTTGGAACTAGGCCAAGCAAAAACAGCAGCAACTTGCTTTTGAAACCTATAGTTATGCAGAGTCAAGGGAGAAGGATCTTGCAGGAGGCAATACCTGTGACATGGGGTGGGCAGTCAGAAACTTTCTGAAAGGTCATGTTTTGAGAAGACCCACCTTCTGGACCTAGTGCAATGTGCTAACATTGACATCAAAGTCACCTGTGCATTCAACCTCCTAGCCTTCATAACCTCCAGAGCTTTGAACATTTATTCAGGGTGTATTAACAGTCTACAAATGCCTTAGACTACCAGCGTGTTTGCCACTGATGACAATTGGTCAGCTTCACCTGTGATATTGGCCAGCACAACAGGCAGTTTGGTTTGCTTCTGTGGCTGTTGCCTTGTTGCTACAAGGTTTTACTATCAAGGCCACAAGAATTAAGAGCAGGAGTCTACTATTTGGCCCTCAAGCCTGCTCTGCATTCAATAATATTGTGGATCTGGTCATAGTCTCACCTCCGCTTTCCTGTCAGATGCCACCTCTATCGTCTTGATTCCTTAATCAAAAATCTGTCTCTCAGCCTTGAACAAATTCAGTGAGCTAGCCTGTAGTGTTGTCTTGGAGGAAAGAATTCTACAGACTAATAACTCCCTGAGAGGAGTGGGGGGAAAACTCCTCATTTCCATCTCAAACAGGAGGCCCTTAATTTTTAAATTCTGATCTCTAGTTCTAGACTTTTCAACAAAGGAAAGCATCTTCTCAACATCCACAATATCAAGTTCTTTTATTCTTGTATATTTCAATAAAATTCAACTGAATATACATGGCAATTCGGTCATTCCCAAGATCAGTCGAGTGTTCATGAGCATCAATGTGTGCGCCCACAAAATTGAGTATTTGAAGGACCTGGTAAACTATAATGCTGTTGTCCCCTGTCATTCCAGGTTCCCTAAAGGACCCAAAAACAAATTTAAGGATGGCTATAAGGAGACTAAAAATGTTTACATCTAACTTGGTTTGAGTAAAATGCTTTGTTAACTTTCTTAACAGTTTAGCTGTCATTACCAGTTGTCTAAAAGCCAAAGCTTTGTTTTAACTGCCAGTCAGATCATTTTACTTGGGTGGTTTCTCAGTGAGGCAGTCCAAGATTGGAGAGCATCCTTCAGCAACAGTCTCTTCAGCTTCATCTTCACTTCACAAGAAGAGAATTGGAGCTGATTAGATAACAGGATGATCAATGCCCATCATGATTATTTTCACTTCAGGATAACTAAAGTAATTGGTGTTGAACAGACCTGGCTCAACACTATTTTTCAGTGGATAACTCTCTTATCAGGTTAACATCTTTCTCAATGCAGAAGCAAAATACTGTGGAAGCTGGGAGTATGAAATAAGTGAAATACTCAAGTGTGAGGACATCTGTGGTGAAGGAGTTAACACCAAGGGCCTTTTAATCAGAAATGCTGCTAAGTGTTTCCAATATGTGTTTTTGTGCCTGGACTCCCAATTTCTGGACCCAGGTGCTGAAATTCCACTGGTAACCAATGCCACTGCCTCTGCATTTTGAGTGTTGTGGAATCAGTGGAAACCATCTCTGGTATTCTCTGTCATTCTTGCTCTGTATTTTGAAGTCTATCAAAAGATGATAGAGTTGATTTTATACCATGAGTATATTGGCACATGTTCAACTGATTGACATCCTCACCAGTCATGAAGTATTTTGGGGAAAGGCATGAGATTATAGACTCCTTTCTTCCCATCTTTACTGGCTATAAATCTTGCGTCATTGCCTCTGTAGCACTTGACTGTAGTTCATTAGGCATATCTCAATCTTTAGATGGGAAGTATGTTTAACTGAGTAGGATTGTAACACAACTAATCCTGGTTCATTGTGTAGTAATGATTCACCCCCCCCCACAATTATTTCCACTTCAGGATAACTAAAGTAATTGGTGTTGAAC